TCTATTCTTTCCTTAAGGCAGAATGGAAAATCTATAAGCATTAACTTCCGATATTGTTACTTCATAGATGTATTGAAAAGCAGAGGAGCTGCCCCAATTGGATTTCATAAGAATTTACTCAACCAATATTTTACAAGGAATATTATTTCTTTTTGAATTTTGAGGATTCAGTAGGAATTGTTTAAAAATAATTTCCTGTCGTTTTCAATTTTTTAAGCACTTTGTTTTGTTTAAATACTGTTTTTAGTCATTTTATTTTATTTTAAAATTCAACTCATTAACTGAATTTTCCAAGGATTTTAATTGTTTTAAGTAGAAATGATTTTTTTCTACAGTTTTTTATACTATTGTGGAAAATACACATCCATCAATGAATTTGGGGTTGAAAAATAATCATCTATAACAATTTACAGCTATTATTCAGGATATTAACATTATAATTAAAAATAAGAGGATTGTCATTAAATTTTTATTTACTGACTATCTTTCACTAAAGCAGAACGGAAAATCTACAATCAATATTGTTACGATATAGATAAATTGAAAAGCATAAAGAATATCCTAATTGGATTTTATAAGAATTTATTGAACCAATGTTTTTCGGAGAGTATTATATTTTGAATTCCGAGAATTCAGTAAGAATTCTTTTAAAATAGCTTTATGTCCTTTTCTATTTTGAAAGCTATTGGTTTTTGCTTTAATAAACTAATATCTAAAATATTACTTGATTGTATTCGGGAAGATTTTTCATAGCTCATAGTTAGAACTAAAAATTACTTTAAGTTTTCTTAATTATTGTAACTAATTAAAGACTTTCCGATACCATTGCTATATATGTGTAATAAACTGCGTGAGGGATTTACCAATTGAATTTCATAAGAATTAATTCAGTCTACGTTTTGCAAAAAATAATTATTTTTCGTAATTTTAGAATTTAGTGGGTGTTGTTTAAGAATAATATCATGCACGTTTTGTATTTCTGAAACATTTGGTTTTTTGTTCCAGTTAACTTTTCTTTTGTTTGAAATTTTAAAAATTGATGTTCGTAAAATTTGATCTATTAATTGAATAAACTTCGTAATTTCAATTAAAAAGCTTTTTTCTCAATAATTGTGTAATTAAGCAATCATTAATACAGTTTATAATCGTTCCAATTATTTTTTAAAATAATCAATTTATTGCTAATGATAAAAAAAAATCCTCATGCTCAGAAAGCAAAAAAATAATAATAATAATAATAAAAGAGAAATAATTATAAAAGAGAAAAATAATGATAAAAGAGATTAAATATTATTATGAAAAATAATAATAATAAAAGAGAATAAAGAGATTGATATATATATATATATATATAAAAATGGAGATAAATGAAGAATGAATATATATATTCATTCTTCTTTTATCTTCATTTGTAAAAAAAAATTTGATAATAAATTATTATGCTAATTTTTCGCACCGTTTCTTTAAAGTTGGCTCCATGAACTCCTTACTTGATTTATCAAGTTATATATTTCAGCAGGAAAGAAACACAAATTCTAGACAAAACTTTTTGTTAAGAGATCTTCAAGCGAGTATTATGCGAGAACGTTGTCCCCCCACCCAAAATACCCCTTCTACCCGTTATTGTACCAAACATAAAAGTGGCAAAAGGAGATAAATTCATTTACGCTATTTTTTTCTTCCTATTTCGCTTCTGAAGTATAAAAGGTATTTTGAAAGCTATCAACCTGTTGCTGAAACTATCGCCCCTCGCTGACATCTCAAAATTTTATTTGCCCTCGAATAAATCTAAATCCACCGAGTTCTTGTATAATTTTCGTATTCAGTAGAACTGGAAAGTAATGATATGCAGAGATTTAGGTATGGGAGAACAGAAGAGAATTTTTATGCAAGGCTGAAGACCCTTTTTGGATAAGGAAAGGGAAAAAAACTTTTGCACCTGGCCATACAAGTCAGGAACAAACATTCAAAGGCAAATAAATTCGGCAGGAAGAAGAACTAGCAACAAGAAGAAAGTAGAGAGCTTTCAAACTGATTTCTAGATTTTCTTTTGGCTTGCTTTTAATGCAACGTTTCCATCTTGTCAAAGGAAGGAAAAAGAATAAAGAAAGAACCACATTAAAGACATGCAAATTAAGTCGAAGGCAAACCAGAAAGAAGAACTAAAACTTCATGAATAATTCAGACGATCACCTCTCCAAGTAAAATGCCAATCAAAAGTTCGACAGAATCCTTTATGCAGATTGCGAAACACTTTTCCTTGAGTTACATTTTTTTTTGTGTTCTTACGTTCATTATGCTTTTTATTCTAAATTTCATCTGAACAAAATGGTAGACGTTTCTGCTTTGACAAAAGTTACGCGTGGAACGTATGGGAAATGCTATATTTTCTTTAAAAAGTTCCGTAAAGTTTTTAAGCATGTCATTTTGATAAAAGGCTGTTAAAGAATATGAGAGTGTTACAGAATTTAAAGATTTTTTTACAATACTGTTTATGTTAAATTTATTTTTAGAACCATTTTCTTACGTCTTTCAAGCATAATTTAGAGAGAAGGTTTTTTAAACGGGTTTAGTTTTTTGATAATATTTAGCTTCTGCTTCGATACACATCATGTTAATTTCTATAAATTTAGTATTATTCAATATACAAATCTTGCTGGTAAGGAAAGTGAAAGCATACAAGTAATATTTGAACAATTATGACAGCAAAATTTAGTATTTAAACCATTACTCGTATTAAACGGATTTTAGGGATAACTTAATAAGGATATAATTTTAAGGATAAATAAATTGGGGATATCATAGATTTAGCTTACAAACAAAAAATGTCACTTCTTACAAAAGCATGTCACTTCTTACAAAAACATGTCACTTTGGCGTTTTTGGTATGTAAATGCTAATACAATGGTAGAAATAAATATTAATGTTCATAATAATTCTAAAATATAGTTATTTTCAGTCAGAACAGTGTTCACTGAGCAGTAAGGTGAAATGCGTCATACCATTTCCGTTTTAATTTTCATTCCTAATAGTTAAAACAGTTTGATACACCCTTAGGGAATTCTAAATAGCATATTTTTTTAAGAACCACCGTCGCATCAATCTTGAAAATTTGTATACTTTAAAATCTATATATTATATAATATAAGTAAAATTTAATTATGGATATTGTTCGTAATTTCCCTCATTTCCCTCTTCAAGTATATATTATATCCATCCANATGTTAGTTCTTTTCTGTAAATCCCTTTCTTAATTTATTATTCAAAACGAAACGCTTTCTCACACTTTTAAATTCACATCTTGTCCCTTAATCTATTTTTGGCTCAAGTATGCATTAATCAAAAGTAAGACATTTTTTCCCTTGCTCTTTGTGAGAATTGCGCGACCTATTTGATAAACCAATTACAAATACTAAGATTTCCCTTTTTCACTAAAATGAAACATTTTACGGATTTACTTCGTAAGATTTTCCCTAGCTTTTATTGAGGAGCACAACGAATTCGTGTACACTTTTATAGCTGTTCTCGTTCTAATAATTAATAAATAAAATTTGCGCCCTCTTTCCCCGCCTAAGACTTGCTTTAATCCTTCTACTCGGCAACGACGATATATATATATATAAATATATATATATTTTTTTCTTCCTGCCAATCTATGATTCCGGTGCATACTTTAACTTTTAAATTACTGCTTGGTATGTCAAAGTCAAATGGAAATTTTCCAATATAAAATTGTGCTTCAATAGTTTTGATTCTTTTAATGGCAAGTTTGCGTTTGTGGGTTTTGGAGTTGATAGTATCATCATCAATATATCTACGCGTTTGCGCAAAGAAACTGTTCCTCTCAATAACAGGGTCAACTTCTTCTAGTTGTGGCGGAAAGTATCAAGAATGAGAAACAAATATTCAAAAATGTCTAGCTCCATCCATAAATAAGAGATCAGTTTTAATTTGAAGCGATATAAGTGCATAAACTTACTGACAAATGCTTAAAATTTTCTGAAGGCATACTTGTGGAAATATATTGCCTAATCATGAAGCGTGTGACATTTTTTTAAGTGATCTGTTCGTAAGATCAGCAGAGCACTTGCCATTTATTGCAACCAATGAAATACTATGCATGGAGAAATCAAGCTCATGAAAAGCAAAGAAAAAATTAGCCGGAAAAGACAAAAAATACTTGTAAAGCCATTTCGTTTTCAGCATGTTTATGCAAAGAATAAATAAGCATGATTACTAAGACTTTTTAAGCAATTATATTCAAGCGTATAGGAAATAGCATTGTACATACTTTTTAATATCTAATAAGTCTTGATAGCCAGGTTTCCTTACTTTTAACAAAAATAAGCTAGATATGAAACTATTTTCTTTCCAATTTTTTTCTTCTTTTACGAGACGCAAACAGCCCTGCTCAAGTCTTTTATGATATGACAATATTTATATCTGACACAATAGTTTAATAATTAAGTTTAATTCTTTTTGCAAAATACAAATCACTAAGAAAATGAAGTAACTTCCGAACTTTAACGAAATATTCGCCTAGATCATAGGTGGGGAACATGCGGCCTCCGCGAGGTTCTTGTGCGGCCCTTTGCCACCTAGTACAAAATGGTAGAGTTCGTTTCAAAAAACAACTATTGTACATCAACGCCATGACAGTTCCGCGAAAAATCCTGCCAAAGACTGAAAATTCCACAAATTCCTTTACTGAAAATTCCACAATGTGTATGTAGTTTACCAATCTAAAAGAAACGAATAATGTTCTATGTAATATTTATTTGAAAATAAATTAAAATTACAAAATACTATTTACAAAATTTGTTGGTTTCAGATCCCCCATTTGAGTGTCACACCTTGCTTTGGCTTCTCTGACTCGCATCTCTCAACGCTTCCCTGTTGCGATCTTCAGCAAACTGTAGTTAACAGTGCGTGCTTATAACAGTTACACGGCTTATAACAGTTGTTAAATATATTATTTGATATTCGTTTTTTTATCCATCATGTCAAATAGTAAGAGAAGAAAATTAGGTGATGAAAACAGAACATTTAATGTGGAATGGGAGTTAGATTTTTTCTTTACTGCTGAGAAAGATAAAATGATGTGTTTGTTGTGCAATACAGTTTTAAATACTTTAAAAAAAGCGAATGCAAATAAACACTATTTGACTCATAAAGAACATAAATATTTCGCTATAGAAGGTGAATCACGAAAAGCTGCACTTCAAAAGTTGAAAAATGGGAAGCATCAGCAGCAGGCATCTTTTAGTGCCTTTGTAAATCAGAATTCCTCTGCAGTTGCTGTTACGTATAAAATAGCACATATACTTGGAAAAAGGGGCAAACCATTTAGTGACATTGAAATTATTAAAGAATGTATTGTTGAAGCAGTGAGTATGTTAAATCCAAGAAATGTCGACAAATACAAACAATTACCTCTTTCAAGAAGAACTGTAGCAGATCGACAGCATGAATTAGCGCAAAATGTAGCAGAGCAACTTCATACAATTATACAAAATGAAGATGTTTATTTTTCAATTGCTTTAGATGAAAGCACTGATAAAACAGATTCAGCACAGGTTTTATATTTTATTCGTGCTATAACTAAAGATTTTCAATGTTACGAAGAACTACTTGCGTTGGGTACACTAACTGGAAGAACTCGCGGAGCCGATATTTTCGAAAACTTCAAAGAAGTATGTAATAAATTACAATTGAATGTCAGTAATTTAGTCAGTGTCTGCACCGATGGCGCACCTTCCATGAGAGGCAAAAAAGAAGGATTCGTTGCTTTGTTAAAAAAGGAAAACTTAAACTTGAAAAAATTGATATCATTTCACTGCATTTTGCATCAGCAAAATCTTTGCGCAAAATCTACCATTTTGCAAGACACTCTGGATAGAACCATTGCCATTGTCAACTATATTCGCGTAAATGCAATGCGTCATCGTGAATTTCGGCAGATGCTCTCTTTAGATGAGGAAACGTATAGTGTTGACCTACCATACTACTGCAAGGTTCGCTGGCTATCAACAGGTCAGGTTTTGATAAAAGTTTTGTCTTTACGACGACAAATTTTAAACTTTTATCAAGAACAAGGAAAACAATGTGATCTATCAGATGAAGTATTTCTCAGAAACCTTGCCTTTTTGTCTGATATGATGACAAAACAAAACAATTTAAATTTTTGCCTGCAAGGTGAAACGAGGTATATTTATGAAATGTGGCAAAAGATCCAAGCGTTTAGAAAAAAATTATCATTTTTCAAAACATTGCTTTGTCGATCGGAAATATCTGCATAACACTTCCCGGAGTTAGCTAAAATGTTAAAAGAGCAGAACTGTGAAAATAAAATATTCGACGAATATGTAGGTGTCTTGGATTGTTTAATAGAAGAGTATACTAAAAGATTTTCTGATTTTGACGAGCACACTCCTGCTATGAAATTGGCATTTGAACCACATTTAATAGATATATCCGAGGCTCCTGCAGAACTACAAATGGAGTTAATTGATTTAGGGGAAGATAGTCAAATCCCTTTTTAACGCTAAAAAGGATCCCATAGAAATCTGGAAAAATGCTGTTATATATCCATGCTTTCGAGAACATGCTCGCCGTTTACTTTCCTGCTTCGGAAGTACCTACTGTTGCGAGACAACATTTTCCCTCAACATTTGTCAAAAATAAAAACAAATTTAAGAACGCAAATTACAGATGCACATTTAGAGGATCAATTAAAGCTGTGTGTTACGAAGCTTGATCCAAATATACAATTACTGTCCAACAAAAAACAAAGCCAAATAAGTCACTAACTTAGTGAATAAAAAAATATTTTTTATTGCATTTTTTTATAATATTTTTAAATTATTTTATATGTATATTATACTTGTATTTAAAATTTTGTAGTATTATATTTTATTTTTTCTATATAATGCAATAAATTGTTAATTCTATAGAAAAACTATAATTATTTCACAAAAGTCACTTTCTTAGGTCAATCAGCTTATGCGGCCTCTCTTATTGCTGCCTAATTTAAATGTGGCCTCTAATGGTAAAAAGGTTCCCCACCTCTGGCCTAGATCATTAGCACGAAATGGTTTCGATGAAAAGGAAGAAAATGTTATGACTTTTTTTTTAACATTATACATTGAGTTGAAATGTTTGATGCTGCTTGTTTTCCAATACGTGTAAATTGCCTTACAATGGGTTATTAGTCAAAAAACTGTTTAAGAAAAGAATAGCATTTAGTATCATAACTTATCCATACTATATAGGCTAAAAATATACAAGAAGTACCTAGTCTTAATTCAACCATTTCTAGTTGGTAAATATCATAAATATTTAATATATTTAAATATATACGGCGTTAATAATGTTTTTTGGTAGAAACGGTTTTAGTTTTTAAAATTATAGTGTTATAATAAAAAAGAAAGAATTATTTAAAATTAAGTAATCACGCACCATTGAACATTTAAAAGGAGTAAATGCAAACTAACTGAACACGCATTAAGATTATTTATCGAAAATGGAAACTGACTTAAGCTTACATTTTTCTGACTTCTATTTTTGAGTAACTTTTTTTAATTATATTTGTCTTTTTAGTGAATGGCTTTTCTCATGGTCTTTTTTTTCCCGAAAGGAAATGGGTTTTAACGTCAAAATATTTGAAGAGGAAATGTTCGAAAATTGAAATGCTGCTTTTAAATAATATTTACTTGGCGAAAAAGAAAATCTCAACGTAAAAACGAGCTTTCAGCTTTATTTCGTTGAAAATATTTATTTAAACTTTTTAGTTTGTAACTAACTAAAAAAAAAGTATTCAAATTGAGTAAAATAAATTTGCAAAACTAGAGCATAAAATGAACATTAAAATTAATGTTACAGAATTTTTGATCTAGAGAAATAGAAAAAAAAATTATAAAAAATTTATGAACGAAAATAATTGTATAAGTTGTGCTAAAATTTAAATACTTGTTAATAAACATTTCTGTGTAAACTCATACGTTTTTTTTGATAACAGTTTGTGTACTCATAACAGAGGTCGTGCATTAGAAGAGTACTGAAAATTAATTGGAAACGTTTTTATTTTATTTGTAAAGTTGAAAAAATCCATAAAATTTGAGACGAAATCATTAAAGTTAATATTGTAGAACTTTACCTTAACAATTTTGAAATTAAACATAATAAATTATTTATCGAACTAAAATAAATTTATTGTTCGATAAATGAGTAAAATAATAGTTATTTTTTAGGTTTGGGTAAAAGGATTACTTTTGAGCTAGATTTAAAAACAAGAAAGGATACCTTATCAACAAAGCAGCTGATTCGTACTGGCGTTTGTAAAATTCTAAAGAAATGAATATTTTTTTATGAATCATAAATGTATAGAAAATATGATTCCTGTGAACTTATGATGCATTCTTAAAGTTACCTTGCGACGATTGATTTGTGCTGGCGTTTGTAAAATGATAAGAAAATGAATATTTTTTATGAATTATAAATGTATAGCAAATATGATTCCTGTGACTTTAAGATGAATTTTTAAAGCTACCTTACGGCGATTAATTCGTGCTGGCATTTGTAAAATTCTAAAGACACGAATACTTTTATATGAATCATAAATGCATAACAAATATGATTCTTGTGAGTTTATGATGCATTTTTAAAAGCCGCCTCTATAAATGATGTTAGAATATTTTGGGTAAACTGTTAGGCTCAGCATAATTTAAATATAAAATTTTTTACTCAGTGTTCAATACTGACCAATGATATGAAAAATTAGATAACGAAAATCAAAAATATGTAGACATTTACAGTTTGTTTTGTTCTGTTTTGGTCATAAAAAATATATGACAATTGAGTTCAAAACTAGTTATTAAGTTCGTCAACAGATGAAGCTGATAAGTGAGAAAAACTATGAAATTTTTGTTTAGATAACTCTCATTCTCAGCAATAAAAATCATCTGGCATGAAGCAGAAAATATTATTTCATAGTTTTTTTCAGACTGAGGCTCCATATGTTGGCAAACTTTGCAACTAATTTAAAAACTTGGTGAGAAAAAATAACTCGTTTACAAGGCAAGCTCAACATTTTCTTTCTATCCAATTTTCTTTAATTGACTCTTCCTATCTTCGGTCATTTTTGGAACAACTGGTGTTAATTGTTTATTTTATAAAGAATTGACCTAAATTATTTATGGAAATAAAAATGTTTGTCTACACTACACATCATTAGTATAGTTTTATAAGTAAGTTACTTTTATTAGTGTAGAAAAGAAGTGTTTGTATTATAAATTATTGATGCATAGATGGGTAACTGTATTCGAATAGAAAGTTCATTTCTGACAACAAATAAACTATGATTTCTTTTTTCTTTCTTTTTTTTTTAGTATGGTGGCTAAAGTTTTTTTTTTATTCGCTTTGAAATAAAGTATAATAACATAATTTTTTTATTCTATTCATGATGAAAAATAATGACTTCATTGGTAATTTTTATAATTTAATATGCATTCATTTCAATCAGGCGGAACTTTGCAGCTAAGTTTTAAAGAGTATTTCAGCACTTCATTAAATAATATCATTTCTTAACTTTTTTTAAAAATCTTGCTTTAGGGCTTTTATTTTTTTGTAACGACAAACTAATAGTATAAATTTTTCATAATAATCACATTCGTTAAGGTAGGACATAAAATACAAAGAGTAGCGAACTACGATATTATAAAAATGATAGATGGTATAAAGATTTACGACGGGAAAAATATTTCTCTTAAAGGAAGTTAAAAATTATTCTTAGAAATCGATTCATAAAGTGCAGTTTTAAAAATCGTAGTTACTTTAAAAATATACATATTTCTCTTTTAGATATAAAAACTTTTAGTTTACACATGGAGTAATGATTAGTTTTTGACACGTTAAAAATTTTCTCCTAATTATGTGAATCAAATAATTAAAAATTTACTTTCTAAATTATAGAATGAGAAAACTACGCTTTATTCTGTGAAGCAAAAATTATTTGATAAATAAGCTTTATTTATATTTGGATTAGAGATACTTCAAAATTATATAAATAAATAAACTTTCAGAATAAATATGTATTTACGGATGAAATATAATTTAAAAGATGCCACACAATAAAAGTTTTCTTTTATTTAGAAATTAGTTAAGATACCGAAATTTTTAAATTTAAAAGTCTTGTTCACAGTAAAATTTTTTAAAATTTAATATAAAATTTACATTAAAATGCAGTTTGAATTTTGTAAAAGTGTGTTTACGTAAGATAAATATGCTTAAAATTTAGTATGCTTTATTAACTGATTAAAATTGATATGAAAACTCTTTGCCAGAGAAAATATAAGTTATTTAGGAGTTTGCTTTAAGATTTTTTTTTTTTTTTCATAATGTTTGATTTTATTCAAGATAAAAATTTACTATAAACAACATAACTTTAGTGCATAGTTATTGTTTAAAGAATTTTATTAAATAAAACATTTTATATTATACAAAATAATAATTTTTTGAAAGAAATTTACCGAGTTTTATATATCAGCGCAAATTTATTGAAGTAAGAAAAAACTGCTAGTCATAAAATCTTTTCTTTGCTTTTGTTCAGTAATAAATTTGTCTAAAAGTTTTGTTTGGAGGTATTCATTTAATTTTAAGTAGTGTTCTTTTACAACAGTCCTAACTGAAACTTTAAAAATTGTATTTTGTTGATTATCATATTGAATTCGATGATTTTGAAGTGTGATTTTGATTTGTAAGTCTCACGAGCAATGTATAAAATGTCAGGCGTTTTTCTGCAGAATATGAACTGCGCAAATTATATACTTTATCTAAGCATTGTATACATTACCTAGGCATTGTATAAAATAACATATAAATAGTTTTGAGGGAGCTGTGGTGGCTCATTGGATAGAACGCATGCCTTCCAATCTCAGGTCCGAATACATACTTGGTGGCTGGTTGATACGAATTCTGCTCCTAGTTTGCACCGACCACGATGCTGAAATAAAATATCCTTAGTGGTAGACTGATCAGGGGTTAGAATAACCTTGCCGTCAAGCTAATCGAGGGTGGTTTTCGTGATTCTCCTCTCCATGTAACGCAAATGTGGGTTGGTTGTAACAAAAAGTTCTTCAAGAAGGTAGTTTGTTCCAATACTTGATCGGTTACCATTACATTAGTTGCATTGCAAGTCTACACAGTTGAACATTGATAGTCATAAACTCAGAATTGGGCCGGATGCTTAATGCCAGTTTGAAATAGAATCTGAAATTGTCTTTAGGAAATTTATGAACTTTGA